CAGACTACCACATTTTTCTCCCACAGAGTGGCTGGTAGGTTTAAGCTGCTGATCTTTCAGTTAGCAGCTGAGTGTTTAACCACTGTGCCACCAGGGCTTCCACTAATGTGGTAGAGGGAAGCAAAGGGCTATGAGAACACACAGATGGACCCCTAATTCAGACACTGAGTATCATAGAAGGTTTTTCACATGAGGGAAACCAACAAAACTTTAGACATGAACATTATTACCCATTTAATTATCACAAATACTCTTTAAATGAACATCTATGCAGATAATTTTCTATTTTGCTGGCACTCTCCTTTCCTGGCTAGATTCTAAGTAAAATTTTGAGACAGATTCTATGAAAAAACTCATGGTTTTCAATACCTGTTACCACCTACCTGTCATCAACAATATGTGGGTATCCATTTCAGTGCATCTTTACCAGCAATGGGCATTATTACTTTAATATTCATTGCCACTAGCAGACAACTTCGATTACTAGTTAAGCTGAATATTTTTCTAGCACTAATTTCTTTAAAACACAAATTTAAGATCCTCATAGTTGCTACCAAGAGAGTATTAGGAAAGATTACCAGTATAATAACATCTCAAATGTGTCATAATGTACATACTGTCATTTTTTTATATAACCACAAAAGTGACTGTGTCACAATTGGCAGCGTCCAAAGAAATCAGATATTTCATATTCATGCTAAGATCCTTGACCTCTAAAATTTATCGTGAGCTCTGTGAGGAAAGGGAAAATGTCTTGTTTGATTTTGAAACTCTATCACAATGTCAGCAAGTAAAATACACTTTATGATTATTTGCTGTAAGAATAAATAAACATACAATTTTGCAAAAACAGCAATAACAACCAGAAAATATGCATGTGGTTACATAGGTAGATATATATGCATATATGTGTATAAGAAGGTATATGTGTGTATATTTGGATGCACATATAGGCATATCTGTAGGCATGTTTTATACATGTATGTATGTAAAAACCAAAAACCAAACTCAGTTGTCATCAAGTCAATTCCAACTCATAGTGACCCTGTAGGACAGAGCAGAGCTGCCCCATAAGGTTTCCAAGGAGCAGCTGTTGGATTTGAATTGATTTTTTTTTTTTTTTTGGTTAGCAGCCGAGCTCTTAACCATTACGTGACCAAGGCTCCTGTATGTGTGTGCTGCGTATATATTCATATATATAAGAAAGCACATAGGGAGCACAGTTACAGATATTTCCAAGACATAACCAAATACCTTGTGGGATTGGTTTACTGGATTTGAAGGCTTAGGACCATAGTTTTGTTGGACAACCCTGTCAATTGGAATAACATAGTTCAAAAACTTTGTTCTACATCCTAATTTGGTGAATAGCATCTGGCCTTAAAAGCTTGTGAGTAGCCATCTAAGACACAACTATTGGTCTCTATGTGTCTGGAACAAAAGAGAAAGAAGGAAACCAAAGACACAAAGAAACTAGTCTACAGGACTAATAGCCTACACAAACTACTGCCTCATCTATCCTGACTCCAGAAGAACTACATGGTGTCCGGCTACCAATACTGACCATTCTGACCAGGGACACAATAGATGGTCCCGGATACAATGGGAGAAAAATATAGAACAAAACTCAAATTCTTAAGAAAGGCTAGGTTTACTGGACCGTTACAGACTAGAGGAACCCCCAAGACTGCTGCCCTGAGATATCCTTTAAACTTTGTACTGAAACCACACCTGGAGGTCATCTTTCAGATAAATAACAGATTGGCTCATAAAATAAACAATATCACCCATGAGTACTGTGCTCCTTTAAAAAATCATCTATATGAGACCAAATGGTCAACATTTAGCCTAAAACAAAGATGAGAAGGTCAAGGGGTGGCAGGAGGGAAACTAGATTAATGGAAACTGAACAACCAGAATGGATATAATGAAGACACTGACACATTGTGAAAAATGTAACCAAAGTCAGTGAACAATATGTATAGAAATTATTAAATGGGAACTGACTTTGCTGTGTAAAAACAGAAAAACACAATAAACTATTTTACTTAAAAAAAAAAATAAAAAGAGGGAGAGAGCTCTGATGATATCATTTGAGCTCCTGGATCAAGCTATGCCTGAAGACAACTAAATTTCCTTTATATGAGCAAATAAATTCTTTTCATTAAAAAAAAAAAAAAAGAATGAAATAATGAATAATGACAAAATATAAGTTGAAACCATACTTCCTGAGCTCTATACATATGGCAAAAATTAACAGTTCAGTAAACATCATATTAGGAAAAGATCAAGAAGTAGTGTGTTCCCTTCTTTCCCTTCTTGCCATATAAAAAGGGTGGCCATACACCTCCATTTGCTTGTAACACTTCCGGTTTATGCCTGTTGTTCCAGATCCTATCTGATTAGAGCTGCATTCCAAAAGGATTCTGGATTTGGGCAATAAATTTTATGGTTACCCTACATCTAAATGATATTTCCTTAATGAATGGCATATCTTAAGTACAAAGTGCTTTCCTGATCAGAAAGCTTGTCTTTGTGTCACTCTGAATTTTATTTTGAAGATCCCTGAGCAGATAACTGTTTTAGTCTTTATTTAAGTGTTTTTATAATACTTAACTATTTAAAGACAAATAACAATCTGCAGGAGCCCTGAGTGGTGCAAATGTTTAACGTTTAATGCAGTTGGCGGAAAGGTTGGAGGTTTGAGTCCACTCAGAGGCTTCTCTGAAGAAAGTCCTCGCGGTCTGCTTCCAAAAGGTCACAGCTATCAAAACCCTACGGAGCACAGGGTCACCAAGTGTCATAGTTGACTGAACGGCAACTGGTTTAACAATCTGCAATAGTTAATCCCTAACTAAGAGAAAATGCCTTGGTTATATCAGCATTCTCATAGGGTTGCTAGGAGCTGGAATTGACACAATGCGTTTGTTTTTTTGGATATCAGTATTCTTTACTGCATTTTATTGATAAGAGAAGTGAGGTGTGGAAAAGAAAAGTGCCTTACTCGACTCACATCAAGTATGAATCCTCAGCCACATGAGAGGAGGCTGTTGGAGCTCTAATTTTTGGTTTTTGATTGATTCTCTAAACTGTACAGTCACTACTTTGCAATGCAATCTCCAGTGCTGTTAGGTCAGAGAAATTTTTATCACTGAGCAAACAGCTTTTTAAAATGCAGATGGTAAGCAAGCTATTCCAAATTGCACAAGGAAATTACAGGCATACTTTGGATAATGTATTTTAATGGGCAGAGATTTCATGGGTAATAATATTTCAGTTTCACTAAAGTAACAGTCTCTATTCAAATCTAGTCTACTGGTCGAAAACCATCAGAAGGTGAAGGGAATATCGATAAAATAGATGCACTTGAAAAATAAACAATCCTTTTGGTAATTAAAAAATAAACTTTGTTATATTTTTACATTTCACAAGTGTGTCTAAATTTCATACCAGGGTACACAGTTTAGATAAGACTTCAGTAGATTAACACCTTGGATGATAGTAGAAAATCTTAATGGAGCTAATAAAGTTATTCTTTAGAAAAACATAATCCTGATGGCAATAAATAGAATAGGCTATGTCCAAGGCCCATGTTAAAAAAAAAATAAAAAGAAAAAACTCTACTGCTTGCATAAAAGGAGATGTATACCACATAGGCAGTTGGAGAGACCCACTGTTATAAAGTCATAACCTCCACATTAATCTATAAACATAATGTAATGTCAGCCAAGGCCCCATCTGCATTTTGTGGGTGAGGTAAAATTCATGTAAAGTTACTTTGAAGGAATAAATTCAAGAGAAAAGCCAAGGAAACTTTTATAAATTATCAACAAACTAAAATAATAAATATTTTGCTGGTACAGACCAATGAAATGAAATTGAAAGTTCAGAAACAGGCACGGATGTATATAAGTATTCAATACTGAGAAACAATAATGAAAGGATCAGAGGATTTAATAAACAATGTTGCGACAGCTGGGTAGATCCATACCTCATGCTTTACATCAAACAAATTCTAGGTGGATCGAACGTTTTAATATAAGAAAATGAAAATAAAATGTTTGGAAAGGTTCTCTATGTATGACTTCAAAGGTAGTAATCATTTAAAAAAAAGACTGATAGATTGAACCACATAAAACATAAATAATGCTAAAATAATTATTTATCTATTAAGGATATCAATAATTTTTCTGCCATTTATACTATAATCTAAATTTATTATTTGTCTTTTAATTTCATTCCATTCCTTTTGACATAAAAAATTTAAAAAACTGTTAGAAGTTAAAAATATCAAACTTTAAGATTTCTTTCTTACTTCTGGCTTAGAAATGCTTAACCTAAAATCAGACCAATTTTCACTTGCATTTTCTTAGACTTCTTTCACTGTTTCTTATTTTATGTTAATTAAATAAATGAGGGGTCAAAATACAGCTCTATCCCTTGTAAGCTGTTTGATATGTGAATGTTACTTAACCTTTCTGTGTCTCAATTTCATTTTTTTGAAAAAACAGATGTAATAATACCGGCTTGTTAGAGTTGCTATGGAGATTAAAATAAATAATTTACACAAAGTATTTAATATGGTAGAGCCTGGCACATAAAAAATATCAATAAAAAGTAGCTACTACTCTTAATGCTATCACATTGCATAATGGATTCTTATTTTTCATTCGAGTACTTCCATGACAACCAACTTATGGTAATGGTATTTTTATCTGATTTAAAAACAAATTTCACATGATTTATTTAGTGCTATAGATTTTTCCTTTTAAAATGATTTGTAAACCATAATATATGCTAGTCACAGATAATATCGTAATTCTTTGGCAACTATGAAGTTATAAAAATCATTCTACAAAGTTGTCTACTAGTCTGAAGTTGTCAGATCACTAAGTAACAGTGTAGTCCAAGAATATTAAGAGGCTTCTTACACTCGAGAACTGCTGAGATTACTTATGAGCTTGAAACGCAAATAGGATGTTTACCCTTCAGAATCTCACCTCTAGGAGGCCATCCTCAGGTAGATCAGTACAGTGAACAGCATTCTGGATCTTCGTTTTACCAAAGATTGCTCTGAGGGTTTCAGGGCGTAAATGCCGTGCGATTTCCTATTAATAAAAATAAATTTACATATCAATCAAAGTCAGTCATATGGTCCTAGTAAGAAAATTCACCAGCTGTATGCAACACTTGTACTATTTAATTTATAAAGTGTATGTAAATGTTGATGGTGTTCATTTTCCTCAAAAGTAGCACAGATGTATAAAAACTTTCAGCACTGGAAAATTTCAGTTTACTCATAAGGTTTTCTCTGTGGCTCAATGTGAAGTCCAGTGTAATCTCTGTCAGAGGGCAAACAGATTATGGGAATCATACAAAATATGAAGCCAGTTCATCACTGTGAAACACTTGTATTTTATAAAGATAATACAGATCCTAACACCTTCATTTATAATAAACCAGTTTGATGGGGTATTAATTACAAAAGGTTTTCAAAAATATTATAGTTGTATCAACTCAGTACACGATTACTTCAGGGGAAAAAATAGTTACAAATAACTCAGAAAATTCTGCACAAAAGAAGAAGTTAAAAAAAATTGAAGATGAGAGTATATTAATAATCTACTAAATAGTCTTTCTTTTCTTCTAATTAAAAAAAATCCTATTTCAATTAAGAAATATATCACACATACCAAAGGCTATATATGAGTGCATTAAAGAAGAAAATAAAATGAATACACCATTAAGCTGAATTAAAATATTACCAATTTTTTTTTTAATTTTATTGTGCTTTATGTGAAAGTTTACAGTGTAAATTAGTTCCTCATTTAACAATTTATACACAAATTGTGATGTGACATTCATTACAATCCCCACAATGTGTCAACGCTCTCCCCCTTTTACACCCCGGGTTCCCCGTAACCATTCGTCCAGTTTTCCTGTCCCTTCCTGCCCTCTGGTCTTTGTTTTTGGGCAGGTATTGCCCATTTGGTCTCCTATACTTGACTGAACTAAGAAGCACATTCCTCACGTGTGTTATCGTTGGTTTCATAGGCCTGTCTAGTCTTTGGCTGAAAGGTGGATTTTGGGAGTGGCTTCGGTTCTGAGTTAGCAGGATGCCCAGGGGCCATAGTCTTGGGAGTTCCTCCAGTCTCTGTCAGACCAGTAAGTCTGGTCTTTTTTTGTGAATTTGAATTTAGTTCTACATTTTTCTCCAGCTCTGTCTGGGACCCTCTATTGTGATCTCTGTCAGAGCAGTCCATGGCAGTAGCTGGGCACCATCTAGTTCTTCCGGGCTCAGGCTGGTGGAGGCTGTGGTTCATGTGGTCCATTAGTCCTTTGGACTAATATTTTCCTTGTGCCTTTGGTTTTCTTCATTCTCCATTGCCCCAGACAGGATGGGACACATAGATCTATCTTAGACGGTGGCTTACAAGCTTTTAAGATTCCAGATGCTACTCACACAAGAAGGATGTGGAGCATTTTCTTTATGAACTAAGTTATGCCAGTTGACCTAGATGTCCCCTGAGACCATGGTCCTCATCCCTCAGCCCCAGTAATTTGGTTCCTCATAGTATTTGGATGTGTCAAGGAAGCTTCTATGACTTTGTCTTGGTCAAGCTGTGCTGACTTCCCCTGTATTATGTGTTGTCTTTCCCTTCATCAAAGTTACCACTTGTCTACTATCTAGTTAGTGATTTCCCCTCCCCTCCCTAGAAACCACCAAAGATAGTTTTTTTCCATGTGTAAACCTTTTCTTGAGTTTTATAATAGTAGTCTCAGACAATATTTGTCCTTTGGTGATCAACTTACTTCACTCAGCATAATGCCCTCCAGATTCATCCATGTCGTGAGATGTTTCGAGGATTCATCATTGCATAGTATTGCATTGTGCGTATGTAACAATTTGTTTATCCATTCATCTGCTGATGGGCACTTAGGTTGTTTTCATCTTTTTGCTATTGTGAATAATGCTGCAATGAACATCGGTGTGCATATGTCTATTCATGTGACAGCTCTTATTTCTCTAGGACATATTCCTAGGAGTGGAATTGCTGGATCATATGATATTTCTATTTCTAGCTTTTTAAGGAGGTGTCATATCATTTTCCATAGTCGTTGTACCATTTTATATTCCCACCAGTAGTGCATCAGAGTTCCAATCTCCCTTCAACCTCTCCAGCATTTGTTATTTTCTGGTTTTTTTGATTAGTGCCAGTAATGTCAAGGTGAGATGGTATCTCATCGTAGTTTTGATTTGTATTTCTCTAATGGGTAATGCTTGTGAGCATTTCCTCACGTGTCTGTTAGCCACATGAATTTCTTCTTTGTTGAAGTGTCTGTTCATATCCTTTGCCCATTTTTTAATTGGATTGTTTGTCGTTTTGTTGTTGAGGCGTTAAAGCATTCTATAGATTTTAGAGATTAGACCCTTGCTGGATATGTCGTAGTAAAAAATTTTTTCCCAATCTGCAGGTTGTCTTTCTGCTCTTTTGGTGAAATCTTTTGATGAGCATAAGTGTTTAATTTTTAGGAGCTCCCAGTTATCTAGTTTCTCTTCTGGTATTTGTGCATTGTTAGTTACGGTGTGTATTCTATTTATGCCATGTATCTGGGCCCTTAGTGTTATCCTTATTTTTAATTCCATGATTTTTATAGTTTTTGGTTTTATATTCAGGTCTTTGATCCACTGTCAGTTTTTGTGTATGCTGTGAGGTATGGGTCCTGTTTCATTTTTTTACAGATGGATATCCAGTTTTGCCAGCACCATTTGTTAAAAAGACTGTCTTTTCCCCATTTAATGGACTTTGGTTCTTGGTCAAGGATCAGCTGAACGTAAGTGGATGGCTTTATGTCTGAGTTCCTGATTCTGTTCTATTGGTCAATATGTCTGTCATTGTACCACTATCAGGCTGTTTTGACTACTGTTGTTGTGTAGCAGGTTTTGAGACAGGTAGTGTGAGGCCTCCTGCTTTGCTCTTTTTCTGCAATAATGCTTTGCTTGCCTGCGGTCTCATTCCTTTCCATATAAAATCGGTGATTAGTTTTTCCATCTTGTTAAAAAAAATGCTGTTTAGTATCTGCATCGAGATTGCATTATATCTGTAGATTGCTTTGGGTAGAATTGACATTTTCATAGTTTTGAGTCTTTCTATCCACGAGCATTGTATGTTGTTCCATTTAGGTCAGTCTCTTTTGGTTTCTTGCAGTAGTGTTTTGTAGTTTTCATTGCATATGTCTTTTACGACCCTGGTTAGACTTAAACCTATCGCCATCGAGTCAGTTCTGACTCATAGCATCCCTATAGGACATAGCAGAAATGCCACACAGGATTTTCAAGGAGCAGCTGGTGGATTCGAACTGCCAACATTTTGGTTAGCAGCTGAACTCTTAACCACTACGCCACGTTAAGTATTTTATCTTTTTAGTGGCTATTATAGATGGTATTATTTTCATGAATTCCCTTTCAAAGTTCTCTTTGCTGGTGTATAAGAATCCAATTAATTTTTATATGTTGATTTTGTATCCTGCTACTCTGCTGAATCTATTAGTTTCAGCAGTTTTCTTGTGGGCTCTTTAGGCTTCTCTATTTATAGGATTGTATCATCTGCGAATTAAGATAGTTTCACTTTTTTCTTTCCTTTTATTTATTTTTCTTGCCTTATTACTCTAGCTAGAACTTCCAGCACAATGTTAAATGGGAGTGGTGATAAAGCACATCCTTACCTTGTTCCTTTTCTCAAGGGGAATGCTTTCAGCCTCTCTCCATTGAGACTGAGGTAGGCTGTTGATTTTGTATAGATGCCCTTTAATATGCTGAAAAATTTCTCTTCTATTCCTATTTTACTGACAGTTTTTTTTAACTGTATTTTTTTATTGTACTTTAGATGAAGGTTTACAGAGCAAATTAGTTTCCCATTAAACAATTAATACACATATTGTTTTGTGACACAGGATGCCATCATGGATTGAATTATGTCCCCCAAAAAATGTGTGTATCAATTTGGCTGGGCCATGATTCCTGGTATTGTGTGATTTTCCTATGTTGTAAATCCTGCCTCTATGATATTAATGAGGGAGGATGGGTGGCAGCTGTGTTAGTAAGGCCGGACTCAGTCTACAAGATTGGATTGTGTCCTGAGGCAATCTCTTGAGATATAAAAGAGAGAAGTGAGCAGACAGACAGGGGAACCTCATACCACCAAGAAAGCAGTGCCAGGAGCAGAGCGGGTCGTTTGGACCTGGGGTCCCTGCATGGAGAAGCTCCTAGTCTGGGGGAACACTGATGAGAAGAAGGCTGACAGAGAGAGAAATCCTTCCCCTGGAGCTGATGCCCTGAATTTGGACTTTTAGCCTACTTTACTGTGAGGAAATAAACTTCTCTTTGTTAAAGCCATCCACTTGTGGTATTTCTGTTATAGCAGCACTAAATGACTAACACAGACGCCAACCCCACGACATGTCAACACTCTCCTCTTCTTGACTTAGGGTTCCCCATTACCAGCTTTCCATCCCCTCCTGCCTTCCTGCCCTTACTCCTGGGTTGTTGTGCCTGTTTTAGTCTCATTTTTATTTTATAGGCCTGTCCAATCTTTAGCTGAAGGGTGAACCTCAGGAGTAACTTCATTACTGAGCTAAAAGGGTGTCTGGGGGTCATACTCTCGGGGTTTCTCCAGTCTCTGTCAGACCAGTAAGTTTGGTCTTTTTTTGTGAGTTACAATTTTGTTCTACATTTTTCTCCAGCTCTGCCTGGGACCCTCTATTGTGATCCCTATCAGAGCAGTCAGTGGTGGTAGTTGGGCACCATCTAGTTGTGCTGGACTCAGTCTGGCGGTGGCTGTGGTACTTGTGGTCCATTAGTCCTATAGACAAATCTTTCCCTTGTGTCTTTGGTTTTCTTCATTCTCCCTTGCTCCAGACAGGGTGGGACAAGTGGAGTATCTTAGATGGCCACTCACAAGCTTTTAAGACCCCAGATGCTATTCACCAAAGTAGGATGTAGAACATTTTCTTTATAAACTGTGTTGTATCAATTGAGCTAGATGTCCCCTGAGACCATGGTTCCCAGCTCTCAGCCCAGTAATTCAGTCCCTCAGAGAGTCTGAAT